ATCAAAATCCAACTGGATATTAACTTATGCATCTATGTCTACAACAAATCCACATTTTTATATTCATCCGTAATAAGAAAAAAAAATAGATAAAACAAAGGAAAGCAAAAATTCAAATTCAGCATCCACATCAGTGATTATCTGAAATTTGAGTTCCAGTCTATCACTACATTAGCATGTGAAGTCAATTATGAGACTTATTTTTTCACTTAGATATGTATATATTTTATTTATCTTTTAGACCAATCAGATTGGTAAACAGAAGATCACAATCTTTATTTCTCCCGCAGCAAGGACAGGCACAGAACAGGAACAATAGTGAAGGTTCAACATGGCGAAATACATGGAAAAAGATGCGCATTCTCCTGCCCTTCATGTGGCCCAAGAAGAGTCACCTCCTGCAGTTGTCCGTCTTCTTTTGCTTCGTGTTGCTACTGGCTGGGAGAGTGGCCAATGTCTTTGTGCCCATTTTATACAAACTTATTGGTATGTTTATATCATGTCATATGCTCTTTAGTTTTTTGTGTAATTTCATTTTTGTATTTCCATTGTAGCCTTCATCTCTTCCAAAGAGTGCAAACTAAAGATTTGGTGTGTTTTAGGCTAGCATCATCCTTTTGTTTTTAATTCCTTGTGTATGATGTTAATATCATGATGATGACCCTATCTTTCCCATTTCTTGATCCTTTGAGCATGCTAGGTGTCCAACTGCACTACAAAATGTGAAGAATATATATATATATATATATATATATATATATATATATATATATATATATATATACCTTACTTTAACAGGTTCTTTCAGACCCGCAAGGTCTTGGATCTTGGTCTTAATGGCTGCGCCTTTAAGCCATTACATCAGTTGTTGCTACTAGGGATTTTAGAGATCAGATTAATTAGCAAAATCACCAAAGTCAAAATTGGTAACCTTAATATTATCTGGTGTTTCATCACATTGACTTTGAATGCCAAAAGCACCCTTTAATCATTCCATATGAATATTGAAAGAACACAGCCCTACCTCCTTTATAGACGCAAAAAAGAAGGTAACATGTCTTCAAGACAATTCATAGAACTTTCAATACCAGTGTATGGGCTTACTCTGAATCCAGTAGTCTTTCTATGGTGCCTCATAAGATGGTTTCTAATATATGTCAGAAGGATAAGAACAAGCACTTTTCCTTGTATGGTGAGCAATGCAATGCTTTGATGCTTTCTGCAGTACCAGCTTTCCTGTTTCCCTGCCCTGATAAGGATTTTTTAGCAACCATGTATTGAACAAGTTCACTGCATGTAACCTATATTTCTTGTTGAACCTCCATTCATTTCATATTACTGTAGTACTGTTATATCATGGAAGAAAAGTAGCCATTTTTTTTATATTATTATTGATTTATCACTATTATCTATTTCAGTTGATGCTCTTGGAGGCAGTGGTGGAATCCCATATTTCTGCTGGGAATATGTCCTCATCTATGTCGCCCTAAAGTTTCTTCAGGGAGGTGGCACAGGAGGCATGGGCTTGCTGAATAACCTCCGCTCACTTCTATGGATATCAGTCCAGCAGTATACCAGCAGGGAGGTTCAAGTATGTATCTCTGCTTATTTTCTTGTTATGACATGTAACATTATAAGAAAGTAATGGATAATCCTGTCTCATGTTTTGGCATGATATTGATACAGTAGACTTTTCACAGATACTATCTTATCCATGTGCAGTGTTTGGACTAATGTTTACTACCTCATTCAGAGTACAAAATAAAGTAGTAGTGGAAGTGTGAGAAAATAAGCATAGGGGAAAATATTTCCTTATTGTTGAGTGTGTATGTTAATTTAGTAAATAATTTTTCATGCTTCGTTTCAGTATCAAATTCATCAATGAAAGAATCATTATTGATCATATGATTTATAGTAATGACAGTATCAAGATATGTGATTGATAAACCATTATAAAATCTTACTTTTTAACATAAATGATCTCAAACTCTGTGCTTCTTACATAGTGATCTTTTATCTGCAGATTCAACTGTTTTCACATCTACACAATCTGTCGCTAAGGTGGCATCTGAGTCGTAAAACTGGGGAAGTTTTACGAGTTATGGACCGCGGCACAAATTCTATCAACACCCTTCTGCAATATATAATATTTAAGTAAGCACTATCACCAATTGCTATTCTTCCTTGTTTTATATTATTAGATCTAAAAGGAATTTCTACTCTTGAAATTAAAATGAAATATAAAGATATTTTACCTTTCTTGTGAGAATAGCATGGTTTATTAAATTTCTGTAGTGTATATATGACTTAAAAGGCTGTTGACATGAAAAAAAGTCATTACAGTTATTATAATCACAGAGAACATAATGAAAACAATATTCAAAGAAGGTAGAATTGCAGACAGTAATCTTTAATGGTAGTGGATACATACATGACAGTGTTTCTTGTTTTCAGCATTCTGCCTACAGTAATTGACATCATTGTTGCTGTCATATACTTCACAGCAGCATTCAATTATTGGTTTGGTATTATTGTGTTTGTCACCATGGCAACTTATTTAGGTGAGTTTTAATTGGTTTCTTTTCAATTCTTTTTACAAAAGATCAGCATTAATGCATAATTGGTTATTAGAAAAAGGCATTACCTCTCCTTCCAATGGCTCTCTTCCCCACCTTTCCTCCCTTATTCTTATTCATTTTTAATTGTATTCTTAGATGAATATAATTCAATTTGATATATTCTTAAAATTACATTGTCTATTTTTTTTTATATAATTATCATAACTTGTATATATAATTACATTGTTGTTGATATTGATAATTGCAGTATTTCAATGTCACGATGATATCAGTTTCTATCACATTGATTATTATTATTATTTTCATTACTATTATGTGTATTTGTATCACTTTTTTGTCATTAATAACATTGTACTATTGTTATTACCATTATCCTTACTTTTATCATTATCATCATGATTATTGTAATTGTTGTTACTAAAACATAAATGTTGACTTTTCCAAACATTACCTAAGTAAGGGTTTTAATGACAATAGTAATGATGTCAATATTAACAATCATTCTGATCATAATCACATTGAATGTACATTTATTTTTATTTGGATATGTTGAGCTCTGCAAAATCTAAATACAGCCAGTGAGTTTTGCACTTTTAAGAAAGGGGTTATAGATGAACAGATTGCTGTAATTTAAAAATGATCAGTCAACAACATTATTGAAAAAGTTTACTTAAAACATTATGAAATATCAGAGTACAGGAACATGTTTTTAACCCCTAGCCAACGGGTGGCATGTACGTACATACCATGGCTGTTGTGGATCGAAAAACGGATGGCATCATATCATGCCCATTCCCGCGCCACTGGCTTGTCAGACGGAGTTTGTTTTTCTCAGATAGTAGCGGCTTTATTTATATGGTAAAGATTTTAGGCAATGAAGGTAAACCTTCAAAATTATAATATTTTTATAAATTATTGCAAAATAAAAGCTTTTAGGTGCTAAATGTCGCTCACAAACTACCGATCGAGCCGGGCGCAAACAGGGGAAACTGCCGATGCGCACCAACAATCCCGTTCTTACGTCCACTTGCCAAACATTTATATTATTACTATTATTTCAACTGCTCCTATTTTCTGAGAATACAACTACATTCTTATCATGTTTTCTTGACAGTTATCACAATCATTATGACTGAATGGCGGACCAAATACAGACGTAACATGAATTTAGCAGATAATGAGCAAAGAGCTCGAGGTGTAGACTCTCTTCTCAACTTCGAAACTGTGAAATATTATGGTGCTGAAGACTATGAAGTAAACAGGTATAAAGAAGCTGTACTGAATTACCAGGTAAGATAAACAGATTATGTTTATATATTTTGCTAGGACTTGAAATTTGTATTTTGATTATTAATATAGAATTGAATTGCACATTTTAGTTATTTTATTGTTGGCAAATGTTAAATCAGTACCAAACAATATTCATTCTTCTTTAAGAAAAAAAAAAAAAAAAAAAAAAATATCTTTGGTTTACTCCTCTCTAGAAATAAATGAGTTGCTTTTTCCTTCTAAATTCAAGTCAGACATCTGTGGAACATCTTTAGTAATCATTATTATTGCTCTTGATTACAAACAAAACTTATATCTTATAGTCTTTCTTACCTGAGTTATCATTCTAATATGCAAGACTGCAGAGTAGATTTATGTATTAGTAAGACTATATGCTAGTACAATCCTTGCATGTCAACATTAATAAGTAATTCCCTTTTCATATTTTCTCACATTCAGATAGAGGAGTGGAAGAGTAATGCATCTCTATGCTTCCTGAACACAATTCAGAATTTTGTAATTAATGGAGGTCTCTTAGCTGGATCTATGCTGTGTGCCTGGATGGTGGCAAAAGACAAAGGCCTGACTGTTGGAGATTATGTTCTCTTTTCATCATACATCATGCAGCTGTATACACCTCTTAACTGGTTCGGAACTTATTATCGTATGATTCAGCAAAATTTTGTGGATATGGAGAACATGTTTGACTTGCTAGAAGAAAAGCAAGAGGTTCTGGACAAGGTAAGTTGTGCACCATGTCCATATTTTGCCGCGACAAACTTCACGTGAAGCACTTTACTTTATGTATCTTTCATAGTTGTTATACCTGAGGATATTCCAGAATTATTCACAGGAGACAAATATTCAGACCAAATGGTAGCCATAATTAAATTTGTTTTGCATTCAACAGCCAGATGCTGACATCATGGTATTACCACAAGGCAAAATTGAATTCAACGATGTATCATTCCATTATAGTCCCGACAGACCTATCTTGAAAAGCATCTCTTTCCTAGTGGAGCCTGGGAAAACAGTTGCTATTGTAAGTAGTGATTTATCAAAAATACCACGTAGAATGTGATTGAGATTTTTTCTCCATATCAGAATGTAATTGTATCATAATCACCTTTAAACTGTCAATTTTTCACACAGGTTGGACCAACAGGCAGTGGTAAGAGTACAATCATTCGACTTTTGTTCCGCTTTTATGATGTCACAGGTGGATTCATAGCCATTGATGGTAAAAATGTAAAAGACTATACCCAAAAATCAGTGCGGCAGTCAATTGGAGTTGTCCCTCAAGACACTGTACTATTCAATGAGACTATTTTGTAAGTATATATTTTTGGTTAGACTTTTAATGATACATATGTTAGTGAAAGTACTTATACCTGAAATTGATATTGTGATTAAAAATGTACATTTTTATTTTTATTAACTTTTTTTTCAGCTATAACATCCATTATGGCAAAGTAACAGCAACTGACACTGAGGTGAAAGAAGCAGCCAAAAATGCTGACATACATGACAAGATTCTCACTTTTCCTGATAAGTTTGATACAAAGGTTAGTAAACAGAGTCAAGTAAAGAACATGTTATAAGAATGTAAAATTATTTTGCTGGGAGCAAACATCTGTTTACATGTGGTGTCTAAAACTATACTTTCAAACATGCACTTCTGTCAGTTATAACAAAAGTAGATATGCAATGTCAGGTGGAAAACTCAAGGATTTTTTTGACATCCAGGTTGGAGAGAGAGGTCTCAAGCTTAGCGGAGGTGAAAAGCAGCGTGTGGCTATAGCAAGGACCTTGTTAAAGAACCCAGCTTTCATTTTGCTAGATGAAGCTACCAGTGCACTTGATACACAAACAGAAAGGAATATCCAGGTGTGATAGTATTATTCTTTTAGCATTAAGTACTTGTGTAAAATTGTAGGTGACTTTCATAAGCCAAATTACTTACAGCTTTTAAATCATCACTGGCACAGGTTTTCACTTTTAGCCAGTACTTTTGTTCATAATATTTGTGTCTGAACTTTACACTAAATCTTTATGGGATATTTTTTCTTTTCTTTTCTTTTTCGTTACTGTAATCACCAAAACATTTGACAAATGCATTTTCTTTATACATTGGGACTGCAGTATTCATGAGGCAAATATGTAAAGATTTGAATGTTATTGTAAATTATCTTGCACTTACTCAACTTCAATTTTTTCAGGCTGCAATACAAAAAGTTTGTACTGACCGAACAGTGATTATTGTTGCCCATCGCCTGTCCACCATAATTCATGCTGACACAATTCTAGTTCTGCAAGAAGGGGAAATTATAGAAAGAGGAAGGTGAGTTGGAATTCAGTTATACTGTTTGTATTGTTTCCAATGAAGTAGACAAATGATAGACTTGTAGAGTTTGCTCTTTTGTCATATTTTTCATTTCAGTAATATGCATTTATATTGATATTTTTTTAACAATCTTTAACCCATTGCTGCAGGAAATATGTACTGTTGATTTGAATTTTCTTTTGTGACTTCTGCACATAGAGGGCTCCACAAGTGCTCAGCCTCATGGCCTCGGCTAATTTCCCTTTCCCTGGGATTTTGGGATAATGTTTTTTCAAATACTTTTAATTTTGAAATTATTATTATTGACATTATGATAATTTAATAGTATTAATAGTATCAATTGCAATAAGAAATAAAACAGTCTTCACAAATCAAGGTAAAACAAGTGAGATAGGTATGACCAGTAATGAATACTTGGTGATTAAGCTTTTGATAAGCCATGTGTAAAGATGATTAATTAAAAAAAAAAAAAGCATGGTGGAATGCAAGAATACATGGCATGTATTCTTGCCATCCACTGTGTTTGCACATGTATTAGAGTATAAAATCATGTGTATGGACTTAATCATAGAAATACACTATATTTGTACTGGTTAATAAGCATAACATAAATAAGAATCGCAATGGCAAGAATTATCATTAATACTTTATTCCAGCCATGAAGATCTGATAAGTAGAAGTGGAGTGTATAGCAACATGTGGCAGCAGCAGTTAGAAGCCAACAACAACACTGATGGTAATGGAAACACCAGCGTAGAGGCAGAAGGTGAGGAGGAGGCTCAGCCACAGAGTCCAGAAAAGAGTGACCAGCAGAAAACGAAGTTATAACAACACTGATGTCGTAATAGCTATATTTCTGTGATTTGCCAGTAGTCAGGAATTATTTGTTATTGATGTATATTTATTTCGTAAAGTAAGTTATTAAGTAGGATAAATTTCTTCAAACAGCAGTTTAGTTCCTTGATATGTATAGTTTAGTTATAGATACAGTGGTAATGATGAAAGATTATACATGTCATTTTTAATTATTCTTCAAAATGAAACTAGCAAAGAGGCTACTTATAACATGGCATTATCCTTGTACAGTAGTAAAATATAATTCAAATGGTTTTATGATACATACAGTATAGGCTATGCATTCACAATATAGCCATAGATAATCATGAAACAGTTAGTACTGAATGTTTCAGATATTTCAAAATTGTATGTTGGTGAGCTTTTAGATTGATTTTATGAACATTTCAAGATTATTGAATTCTTATGTATATAAAATTGTCTAAGAGATAAAAATAAAAATCCTCTATTTTACCACTGTTTTTTTGTACCTTTTGTGCATCTTTTTACAAAGCTTTCATTGTTTATTATTACCATGCTCATCCAAGAAATTATCATTTTATATTTTATGGAACCTGTATCACCAATGTCCCAATAATTCATGCAATATATCATCAACAAAACAAAAATGATACTGTTTACTTTCTTTTCTTCAGTGTTTTCTCCTGTGCTCTAGACATCTTTACAGTAAGCTGTTAAATTTGCATTTCAAATAAGTTAATGAATAATGATAACAGAGGTGGGGAATGGAAAGTCTTTGTCTATTATTATTAGTGCCTAATGAAATTAATTGTGAAACAATGCTGTCCTATTGTAATTAGCTTTTTATATGCTTAGATTTGTGTTTTCTGGAATTAGATCAGAGACAAAAAATATCTACTTATGGCTGCAAATGCCCTCATTTCCCGTAGAAAGTCTATTATCTATTCCTGCTACTAATGGTATTGTTTCTATCAGCATTGTTCTCATGCTACCATTTCATTTTATTTTTCATCTTGATGAAAATCATTACAATTTTAGTTATTCTGTATGGGTCAAACATCTTTTGATTTTTTTTCCTTGCATTCGGGATGCATACATTTTTATTTATTTACTTACTGATACATAGAATAAATCAACCTTCTATTCGGCCAACTTACCAGATGGCGCATAGTGCCCTGTCTCAGCCTTAACATCACAGCCATAAAAAGTTATGGCACCACTGAATGAGGATAGTGCGCCAATAATGAATTATGCCAAAACAGCTTTTATATCAATTTGACTATCAATTTTCTCAACTGTGAGATCTCAATCCAATGTAGTCAGTATAATCCCATTATTGCATACATTGTAAACCATCAAATTATTGTTGCCCTTACCTAAGATTAACAATTAAAGTAGTCTACCCGTATACCGCAGAGTTCAAAGAAAATGAGAGCGTTCTACTGTCTTTATAGAAAATTGGATATTTCAGGGGGAAACCTTGGAATTTCGCAACCATCAAACATATGAAAGGCAGAACGACACAGTTCTAAATACGTCTAAAATGAGCTATTGTGTGTATGTGTGTGTATGTGTATGTGTGTGTGTGTGTGTGTGTGTGTGTGTGTGTGTGTGTGTGTGTGTGTGTGTGTGTGTGTGTGTGTGTGTGTGTGTATATGTGTGTGTGTGTGTGTGTATGTGTGTGTGTGTGTGTGTGTGTGTGTGTGTGTGTGTGTGTGTGTGTGTGTGTGTGTGTGTGTGTGTGTGTGTGTGTGTGTGTGTGTGTGTGTGTGTGTGTGTGTGTGTGTGTATGTGTGTGTGTGTGTGTGTGTGTGTGTGTGTGTGTGTGTGTGTGTGTGTGTGTGTGTGTGTGTGTGTGTGTGTGTGTGTGTGTGTGTGTATGTGTGTGTGTGTATGTGTATGTGTATGTGTGTGTGTGTGTGTGTGTGTGTGTGTGTGTGTGTGTGTGTGTGTGTGTGTGTGTGTGTGTGTGTGTGTGTGTGTGTGTGTGTGTGTGTATGTGTATGTGTGTATGTGTGTGTGTGTGTGTGTGTGTGTGTGTGTGTGTGTGTGTATGTGTGTGTGTGTGTGTGTGTGTGTGTGTGTGTGTGTGTGTGTGTGTGTATGTGTGTGTATGTGTATGTGTATGTGTGTATGTGTGTGTGTGTGTGTGTGTGTGTGTGTGTGTATGTATGTGTGTATGTATGTATGTAAGTATGTATGTGTGTATGTATGTGTGTATGTATATATATATAATATATATATATATATATATATATATATATATGTATGTATGTATGTAAGTATGTATGTGTGTATGTATATATATATATATATATGTATGTATGTATGTATGTATGTATGTATGTATGTGTAGCGTCGTCGTCTGGTCGTGTGTGCCCGACGCGCTAATAAAATAATAGTCTGCGTTGAAACTGGAAAGTAGCTGCGGCCTCTCGTGTCCACCACCGTTTTTGACTGGTTATCATGATATACTTATTGATCATTCTATCACATTAGGTTATCCACTCATTACAATTTTTATTCATTTAGCTTAATTTCCATTATCCATTTTTCTGTACTCAATAGTTTAAGTGCTCATGCTTAATATATAGATTAATCTGTTCATGCGTATACGTATCTTATTTTATCATAAATAGAATTAGTAGATGTGCAGGAAATTATTTTTATATTTAAAAAAAGGGCGACTGGCTGGACTGCTATAGGTTTATCATACTTAATTGCCGTTTAACAATTTATTAATTATATTCCACATACATCACTCGTGCCACAAGAAAATGTTCGGTGACTGTTTCTTTCGTGCTTATACCAAAACCACCACAAAATACAGAGAATACTTAGCTTTTGATTACATTTACGAATTCGAGGGGGGGGGGGTCAACGGGAGCGTATGTCCAACCAGTCGTGAGCCTGAACTCTCGCGCCCTTGAAAATCACTACCAGGGGGCAGGACCTAGAATGGCTCTCATTGGCTGGAGCGACACGCCCGTTAACCTGATTGGCCCACGCGAAATTCGGGGGCATATCTTTCAAAGGTAAAATAAAGTAAAATGAGATACTAAAAATAAAAGCGGTGAAATGTGGCAAGGCTAAGTACCTTAAAAAAACATCTGAGATAATTGATAAAAAGAATGTATATATAGTAAGAAACAAAACTCAGCGAGTAAATAAAATAGTTACCCCCCAAAAAATAAAAAGAAAATGAATTGCGATTCTTAACAGAGAATGGAAGTTAAGGAGGTATTTGTATATTTTCATGTTAGATATTTCCGTATGTATAAACTCGGAGCCAGGTGGACCTCAGGGTATACTACAGTATGTATATGTACATATGCATATAACAGTAAAAATAATGATGATGAGGTATGGTAATGACATTTAATATGTAATAATAATGACACTAACAATAAAAATGACGATGATAATAATAATATCATTAATAATAATAGTAGTAATAATACTATAATAATGATGATAATTATAACAATAATAACAGAAATGATGATAATGATGATTATGGTTATCATTATTATTGTTATTACCATTATTACTATTATCATCATCATCATTAGTATCATGATGTCGATGATGATAAGCATATGTAACTTGGACAAACTAATGAACATTTACGTGGTGATAAGGATAAATGAATGCTAATAATATCTGCATTTAGGACGGGTTATGATTTTAATAAAACTGTGGGGTATTTACCAGAGGCATAATGAAAAAGATAATACATAAATACTTTTTAATGTTTTTTTTCCCGATATATGTACAGCGTCTTAAATATTACGTTCCCAGCACCTTAGATGGAAAAACATTAATACATAAACCTGTAATGCCACAATACAAAATAATATATTTACAAAATTCCTGCAAGTGTGCAGAACAAGGGCAGCTATGGTGTACTGTGTAGGACGTTCAACCATGTATGTACATTTTACATCTATGTTAATAATGCATTCATCAATATTTATACAAAATACAAAACGTGAATGTTGACAGGGAATGTCAAAGCATAATACAAAAATTATCTTACAAAGGGTAACACTTTACCTAGAGAAAAGAGCAAATTTAGCTTTGCTCTTCAAATCAACCTCACCCAGGCTGATAGGATGATTTTTGAAACGTCAGAGGAGAAATGTGCATGGGAATCGTACATCTCTGCAGGCATCAGGAATACAATTAGAACTACACAATGTACAGTCATCTAAAGATTAGCACCTTCATAATGACAATATGTATGAATTACTGGACGGAGGCAGAGGAAATATAATCAAAGGTCTTTTGTACTTGCAAAATTACTATGATCTCCCATGCCTGATTTCTACGTGTCGTAGGTGCATTTCAAGGCTGACTTGTGTATGATACAGTTATAATACATAATCATTAGCGGCTCTGGGGCCTTGGTACTTTCTTACACTAGACATCATCTTCCGACTTCAAGACCCTCCCCGCAGAGCACCCTGCCTTTCTCGGCGCGGAGTCGTCAGCTCGCGAACTACTGCAATGGGATCTTGGCGCGCGCTCGACCCCTCGTCTGGAACAGTTTTATAAGATGAACCTCAGCATGACCGCCAGGAGAATGCCCAGGCACACCACGGCGAGGATGACCCAGGCCACGCAGGCTCCCCCGCGGCAGCACACGCCCTTCATGTTCTTCTCCTCCGAGTGCACGGAGGCCGCCACCTTGGCCGACACGCCAGGCGGCAGCGATCCGTTCTTTTCCGAAACATGCCTCACCGGCAGAGGCTCGGGGTTGCCCTTCTCATCAACAACCAAGGGGCGCGGGCGGGCCATGGGCGGCAGAAGATGGGTCGGGATGCCAGGCGGGGCGCCGGGGGCAGCAGGCCCTAGGATGGTGGAGCCGGCTATGCTCCTGCGGTCGGCAGGCATCGTCCTGGCGGGCAGCGTGCCGTAGATGGGCCCCGGCGGCGGCGACGTAATGCGCATGTCGTAGATGGAGTTCACGCGGCGCGTCATCCCGGGGGGCGGGGGCAGCGACATGGGGCCCGGGGGCATCATGGGCGGGTAGCCAGGGGGCGGCATGGGGCCAGGGAAGGAGAGGGGGCCGCCATGGACAGGGCAGGGCTCGCCGTCCCAGGTGGCCATGGCCAGGGCAGGCACTGAGCGCGCGGATTTCAGAGTGCCGGGGTAGCCGTGGGCTCCAGGCGGGCCTGGAGGGCCGGGAGGGCCGGGGGGCCCAGGGTGGTAGCCGGGGTAGTACCCGCCATACCCATAGATCGGATGTGGCATCGGCGGCATGGCGCCATCGGGCATCCCGTGGCCTGCAGCCCGCTCGCTCTCTTCTTCAGTGGAAGTCGACGAGGAAGACGAGGACGAGGAGGTGGTGCCCGAGGGCGAGTGCGGCCGTGAGGGGGGGCGCCCGCTGGAGTAGGACGGGCGCGAGGGCGGGTAGTGCCCGGGCGGCCCGCTGGAGTACTGCGTGCCCGGGCTGTGGTGGTAGCCCCCGTGGTAGGGCACCAGGTTGG